GGTCCTTTTCCCTTTTAGAATTTTCTTTATAATCGTATCCCCTTCCCGACCCCGCCTACCTATGATTTTCTGTCGTCTCCTTCGCGGGTCCCATCCCTTTTCCTCGCCCTAGTCCTTCCTCCCCCTCCTGGATCCGGGGTAGCAGAGAAGTGCTGGAGTGGGACTAGCCCCTGTCCCGGGCGCTCCCCGCAGAAAACGGGTTCCCGCCTCATCCCAGGCCTGGGCACGGTTCGAGGGGGTGTGCGGGGGGCAATAAATCGCACTATCCAATTGTCCCTGCTGTGCGTGGTTCTTGAGTTCGGGTAAACGGAGGGCTCCGCACCGGGCAGTTGCTGCTGAGGGGGCACTGTCCACGGGCCAGTCCCGTGGAGAGAGGCTGCTGGCTCGGCCCGCACTCGCGCCTGGGTGCAGACTGGGCAGTTGTTCTGGAGGAGTAACCGGCCAGGTCACCGGCAGCGGGTTCTGGGCCCCAGCGGAGTGGCCATCAAGTATCCAGGCTGGAGGATGGGCAGGCCTGTGAGGAACTGGGGCGGTTGTTCAGAGTAAGGTCCGCCCACTGCTGCTTTTGAAAGGAATCTCACCGTCTGGAGGTGCAGGTGGGAGTTGCACAGGCCGTGCCTCACCTCACAGTGGAGGGCAGCCTCCCCCCACGCAGTAAACGAGCCCATGCTCCCGTCTGGGCGTCCTCCCCCAGCCCCTGCAGCCCCTTCCTGCATCCAGCTTCTTGGAAGACTTGGCCTGGACGTTGCACCTGTGTCCCCCTGCTCAAATCCCATCGGGGGAGCAGGGGACAGTCACGGGGTCACATGTCACTGCAGAGGAGGCTGGAAGTGTCCTTGGCCTGCCACTGCTTCCTAGCAACAAAACTATCCTAGAGGCGGGAGCTGGACTCTGGTGGGTGGGTGGATACCTGCCTGCCCCCAGGGCCCCACTGGAGGAGCCAGCCAGGGGACTGGCGGGAAGACAAGGGTGGGCAGTTGCTTTCTGGTGTTTCTTGTGTTCTAGGCGCTGTGCTACTTGCCAGATGGACCTGGTCCTGCAGCATCATCGCATTAGTCCTGGGACGGTGAGGACTGCTAGCAGGTCAGTCCTCAGGGTGGGGCCCTCTGATGCCAATTCCAGTGTCCTGGGACCCTCAGCTGGAGTCCTGGGGACCACGTCCCCGGGATCTTCAGGGGGTATTTCCAGCCTGGCCAAACGCCGTGGCTGGATTCAACGTTCCGTTTACCTCCGCAGAAAGAGAGAGGAGTTTACCAGCAGAAGGGGAGCTGAAGGAGGAAGGGGGGTTTCTACCTTGAGCCCTGAATCTCCCCCTGGTGCTTTGCTGCCCTTGAGCAGATCCTGCCCCCACCCACCTCAGGGCCTCAGGTTCTCACCTGGTGAACCAGGGGCTCAAAACCAAGGCCACGGATGGCCATCTGGTGGGCAGAGACGTGACTCCCCAGGAGGATATATTAGAACATCTTGGGTGCGATCGTAGGTCAGAGAACCCTGTTCTCAAGTGGCCGTCGCCTCGCTTGGAAGCTGGTTGAGGCAGTTCGGTTTGAGATCTCAGACCCTCCAAAGGAGGGAGGGGTGACGCTGTTGTTTGTCCGGAGCGGGCTTGGGTAAACACAGGCTGAGAACACATTGCCCAGTGCCCGCAGTCCCTTCCCTCTCATCCAGCGCTGCCCTTGGGCGCTTCCGGAGGTGGGGGAGGGAGGGAGGGAGGAGTCGTGCCTGGTGGGTGGAAGGGATGTGCCCCGTCACTTGGGTAGAAGTAAGGGCTTGGGTTGAGTCATTCTCTCCCTTCCCCTGGGGCAAGGAAGATTCTGGGCCAATTTCCACGGTGCCGGTGCCGCATATAGGCTGTGTGACTCTGGGCAAGTGAGCTAATCCCTCTCACCCTCGGCTTCCTCCTCTGTGCAGAGATCTTGCCTGTCTCGACTGTCTCAAGGGATCCCTGGGAGTGTCTGTAAGTGCCTGGTCCTTGGTCACTGACAGCTAATTCCTGTCCCGGGAAGGAGCCTAATGCAGGGTTTAGGAACCAGAGTTCAAATCCCTGTTCTGCCAGCAGCTGCCGCTTACCCTCTCCAGGTCTTGTATGCACTCACCTCCTGAAGGACATCTTGGTTGCTTCCAAGTTTTGGCAGTTACGAATAACCAGCTACACCTTTGGGTCTACGAAACAGCTGTCCTCCTACGAGGGAAACAAGAAGTGGCCACACCCTCAGCATTACACGCTTGCCAGGGAAGCATTTCTGTCCCGCGGGGTGTGGCGGTGCTTCCGAGGGAGGTTTCTCTGTTTACCGTAGAGTGGCAATTCTCGGGTGGCGGCGAGTGTGCCCCAAAGGTAGCGTCTGGAGATGTCTGGAGCCATTTTTAGTTCTCAGGACAGGAGGTGGGTGGGTGCACCTGGCATCTAGTCGGTAAACGCCAGGGATGCTGTTCGATGCCCTACCGTGCACAGGACAGCCCCGTTGCCCACCACAAAGGATTATCCTGCCCCAAAGTTCGACAGTGCTGAGGATGAAACACCTGCCCTGGGGACGTGTGAGCCGTCCTTTCTGGATGACACTCTACCGCCACCTAGTGAGCTCCAGGGGAGGTTCAAGGGAATGGCAGGGAGGTGGGTTGAGATCCTGCCCTCCCGGTGCTGCTGAATTCACTAAACTCACCAGCTGGGGAACTTCTACTCAGTGACCTCAGGTCAGGAATTCTGTGACTTGTCGCTTAGAGGATCAGAACTGACATGGCTTCACACCACACACCCCCAACATTACCCACCTGCAGAGTGTGAGGAGTGGGTAGAAGGGAGAGCCACATCACATGACATGGGGAAAGGATCCAACTGGAGAAAATGTCAATGGAAGAGCCCAGAGTCATCCAGGAGGCAGCATGTGCCCACCCTGGGTCCCCACCCCGTGGCCAGACGTACTAGGTCAGGGCGACGTCCCTGGATTTGCCAACGGTCGCCTGTCCTCTTGCTCTGCCTTCCGGGGGCGCAAATATAAAAAGAAATGTGTATGCAACTATGTATCATATTTTAGATCCCACATATAATTGATACCACATGGTATTTGTCTTTCTCTTTCTGATTTACTTCATTTAGTATGATAATCCGTGTAGCTGCAAATGACCTTATTTCATTCTTTCTTATGGCTGAGTAATATTCCAGTGTGTACGTGTACCACATCTTTATCCTCTCCTCTGTTGATGGACACTTAAGTCGCTCCCTGTCTTGGCTATTGTTAATAGTGCTGCTATGAACACTGGGGTGCACCTGTCTTTTCCAATTAGAGTTTTCTCTGGATTACTAATTGACTTTGTGACACCAGACAAATGTCAACATCCATCGGCCTCTGTTTCCTTATCTGTAAAATAGGGAAAATATTACCTACCTCTTGGGGTTGGTTTGAGGGAGAGACTGTGGTAGACCAGTTGTTCTTTACTACACTAGGCAATAAATTCAGCTTTGTGTTTGTATCTCAGATGTGGAATGATAGTCACATCCTACTTTGAAATTCAGATATGTGCTTTAAAAAACCAGCAGATCTGTGTTATCAAAATTTGGGGGCACTTTTAAGGACCTAAGTCCTCCCTCCTCTGCTCTGGAATCACACCCACATCGATCAAGAAGGCCACTGGAGGGACTTCCCTGGCGGTGCAGTATTTTAGAATCCGCCTGTCAACGCAGGGGACATGGGTTCGATCTGTGATCCAGGAATATCCCACATGCCGTGGAGCAACTAAGCCCGTGCGCCACAACTACTGAGCCCACGTGCCGCAACTACTGAAGCCTGTACGCCTGGAGCCCGTGCTCTGCAGCAAGAGAAGCCACCACAGTGAGAAGCCCGTGCACCACAACGAAGAGTAGCCCCCGCTCGCCACAAGAGAAACCCCACATGCAGCAATGAAGACCCAACGCAGCCAAAAAAAAAAAGAAGGCCACTGGATGCTTTTTCCAAATGCTCAGTGTTTATTTGATTCTCTCTCCATGCCCTCTGGTAGGACAGACATTTCACAGATATTGAGGTCTATGACATGAAGGTCACAAGCCTACCTCAGGCAAATGCAATGACCAAGTTAAAGTGGACACACAAGAATCAGTACCTATGAGGGCTTTATGACAATCAGAAATCATTATCCATCTTTGACAAGGAACCCCTGGGCACAGCTGGACCCTAGAAGGTTCCTCCATCAGAGTGAGTGTGGGTGGGGAGGGTTTTTACGTCTTCAGTTTTTCCACCAGTACCGGTCATCTTCCGTAAAAGAATACCAACTGTCACCAATTACAATGTGAGGCTTGAGTCGCTCTAGCTCCTCCAGAAGCCTTCTTATTCGAGCAGGGTATTGCCCTTTCCACAGCCTGGGGAGCAAAAAGGGGACTTACTACTCTGAGAATTTGCTTCTGACACTTCTCCCTTCAGAATTCCTGGACACCCCATCAAGGGTCTGAAACCTTCTCTTGCACTTTTTTAAAAAAATTTTTGGCCACACCACACGGCATGTGGGATATTAGTTCCCTGGCCAGATATCAAACCCCCATCCCCTGCACTGGAAGCACGGAGTCTTAACCACTGGACCGCCAGGGAAGTCCCTCCTCTTGTACTCTTGAGGAGAAACAGTGTGTTCCCCATAGAATGAAAGTCAGTCCCTCCTTGTAAAGGAACTCTTTACAAGGCAGACACTACACTGAGATTTTACAGGCACCTGTCCCTCATAGCTATCTGAAGAGGCAGACATGGTTATTCATCTATTCACGAACTCCTTCCTGAGAACTGACTTTGTGCCAGGTCCTGTTACAGGGTTTAGAGGCACAGTGATGTACAAGGCAAAATCCCCACCATCATGAAGCTTATATTCTGGGAGAGAGAAACAGGTATTCAAATAGACACATGGTATCGTCCCCATTTGACAGAAAAGGAAACAGCCTCCTGAAAGGTCCATTAGTAAAATCTAGGTCTGCCTCTTCTCATCTTTACCTGCTAAGTCCCCTAAGTCACAAGCTTATCTCATCAAAGGCTACATTGCCTCGTGAGTCACCGACACAAATATGCCCCTTTTCAACACGGCCTTCTGCCTTTTCAGCTCACTCGCTGAAGTGATCGCTGAAACCATTCTCTTTGGCTGCATCAAGATCTCCAAATCCACTGAGCCATGCTTTCCAATCCACCCTCCCCCTCAGATTTCACACCACAACCATCGTGTTCTTTCTGGTGACGTCCATCAGTCAAAACTTGACCCCTGGATAAATCCACCTGCTGTACGCTGGACCATATAGGAGAAACCAGTTAGTCAACCGGGAAGTTTGCTACTGATATAAATACATCACAATCAACCACAAGGCGCCTTCTGTGCTGCCACAAGTTCTATGTTTCTCCAGTCAGGTCTTTTTTTTTTTTTGGTACGCGGGCCTCTCACTGTTGTGGCCTCTCCCGTTGCGGAGCACAGGCTCCAGACGCGCAGGCTCAGCGGCCATGGCTCACGGGCCCAGCCGCTCCGCAGCATGTGGGATCTTCCCAGACCGGGGCACGAACCCGCGTCCCCTGCATCGGCAGGCGGACTCTCAACAGCTGCACCACCAGGGAAGCCCCTCCAGTCAGGTCTTTACTTCCCTCAGTCATAGGTGTACGTCTTCACCCCCAGGGGTGCCCTGAGCTTCTATTTTGTCTACAAACATGAGGTGCTAAGCAGCAAATACATTTTCTATCGTCAAAATTAATTCCACACCCGGTCACTCTCTCTTACTCTTTTGTTTCCTTCTTAGCGTTTACCACCTGCAGTAATCCTGAACATTAAAAACATTTAATGGTGGGAAAATACACATAACCTTTACCATCTGAACCATTTTTCATCGTACAGGTCAGTGGCACTCAGTCCATCCACACTTGTGCAACCATCAGCACTGTCCATCCTTATAACTCTTTTCATCTCCCCCAGCTGAAACCCTGTCCCCGTTAAACACTAACTCCCCGTCTCCCGCTCCCCAGGCCCCCACCATTCCACTTTCTGTCTCTGTGGATCTGATGAGTCTAGGGACCTCACCTAAGTAGTATCATGTAGTATTTGTCTTTCTGTTACTGGCTTATTTCGCCAAGCATAATGTCCTTAAGTTTCTTCCCCGTTGTAGCATATGTCAATTTCCTTCCTTTTAAGGCCGAATAATATTTTATGGTATGGACAGACCACACGTCATTTATCCATTCACCCATCAGTAGATACCTGGGTTGCTTCCACCTCTTGGCTATTGTGAATGATGCTGCTATGGACACAGATGTGCAAATATCTCTTCGAAAACCTGCTTTCAATTTTGTTGGGTGTATACCCGCAAGTGGTATGGCTGGATCCTATGGTAATTCTAGTTTTAGGGTTTCTTTTGAAGATAAACATTTTATTTGTATGTCATCCCTCCACGCTCCCCAAACCCATCCCCAGAGGAAGCTCCATGGTACCAGGCACTGTACCCACCCTGTATCCACAGCACCCAACACGGTGCCTGGAACACGGTGGGCACTTAGCGGCTGGATAAAGATCTGGTTGATGAGACACGGTCTCAACTTCTCAGATCAACTGCCCCTCCACCAACTAGTGTGCCTGTAGCAGAAGGAGGTTCGTATTTCAGAAGACATCGCCGGGGACTTACCCGATGGTTTGTAGGTTAGATGTGGGTTGTGCGAAGGCCAAACACAGCTTTGTCATCCCTCTGGGACCAAAATTGTTCTGCATCAGGTTTAGGCTGGTCAGGTGCTGATTGCAGGAGAGGGCGGAGGAGAGGGCCTCACAGCCATTGGAGGTCAGTCCACATGTCTCCAACCTTTAGAGAGCACAGCACAGCCAAGGAATGACCCCAAGATCCGGATCCTTACTTCAACACATGTTTGACTTCCACCACAACTTTAAAATCACAGCGGGGGGCTTCCCTGGTGGTGCAGTGGTTGAGAATCCGCCTGCCAATACAGGGGACATGGGTTCGAGCCCTAGTCCAGGAAGATCCCACATGCCACGGAGCAACTAAGCCCGTGCGCCACAACTACTGAGCCTGTGCTCTAGAGCCCGCGAGCCACAACTACTGAAACCCGCGAGCCACAACTACTGAGCCCATGTGCCTAGAGCCCGTGCTCCGCAACAAAAGAAGCCAACCGCAATGAGAAGCCTGTGCACCACAACGAAGAGTAGCCCCCACTTGCCACAACTAGAGAAAGCCGGCACACAGTAACAAAGACCCAACGCAGCCAAAAATAAATAAATAAATACCACAACGGAATACTACTCAGCCATGCAAAAGAACAAAATCTTGCCACTTGCAGCAGCATCGGTGGACCTGGAGTGTATTACACATAGTGAAGTAAGTCAGACAGAGAAAGACAAACACTGTATGTTTTCACTTAAATGTGGAATCTAAAAGATAAAATGAATGCATGAAGAAAACAGAAATAGAATCATAGACACAGAGAAAAAAACCAGTGGTGGGGGGAGGGGCAATAGAGAAGTAGGGGATTAAGAGGTACAAACAACTAGGTATAAAATAAATCAGCAGCAGGACTTCCCTGGTGGTCCCGTGGTTAAGAATCTACCTTCCCAATTTTTTCAGATTCCACATATATGCATTAATATATGATATTTGGTTTTCTCTTTATGACTTACTTCAGTCTGTAGGACAGTCTCTAGGTCCATCCACATCTCTACAAATGACCCAATTTCATTTCTTTTTATGGCTGAGTAATATTCCATTGTATATATGTGCCACGTCTTCTTTATCCATTCATCTGTTGATGGACACTTAGGTTGCTTCCACGTCCTGGCTATTGTAAATGGTGCTGCAATGAACATTGGGGTGCATGTATCTTTGAATTATGGTTTTCTCTGGGTATATGCCCAGGAGTGGGATTGCTGGGTCATATGGTAGCTCTATTTTTAGTTTTTTAAGGAACCTCCATACTGTTCTCCATACTGGCTGTATCAATTTACATTCCCACCAGCAGTGCAAGAGGGTTCATTTTTCTCCACACCCTCTCCAGCATTTATTGTTTGCAGAAACAATGTACTTTAAAAAAAAAAAAATATTTATTTATTTATTTTTGGCTGCATTGTGTCTTCGTTGCTGTGCGTGGGCTTCCTCTAGTTGCGGTGAGCGGGGGCTGCTCTTTGTTTCCGTGCGCGTGCTTCTCATTGTGATGGCTTCTCTTGTTGCGGAGCATGGGCTCTAGGTGCACGGGTTTCAGTAGTTGTGGCATGCGGGCTAGGTGCTCCACGGCATGTGGGATCTTCCCGGACCAGGGATCGAACCCATGTCTTCTGTGTTGGCAGGCAGATTCTTAACCACTGCACCACCAGGGAAGTCCCAAAACAGTGTACTTTAATTAAAAAATACTTTATTGCTAACAAACACTAATCTTCTGAGCCTTCATCAAGTCATACTAGTAACATCAAAGTTCACCAATCTGGAATTAACAGATACAATCTACTGTATATAAAATCGGTAACCAACAAGGACCTACTGTATAGTGCAGGGAATATGCTCAATATCCTGTAATAACCTATAAGAGAAAAGAATCTGAAAAAAAAAAAATATATATATATAATGTATAACTGAATCACATTGCTGTATACCTGAAACTAACACAACATTGTAAATGAACTATATTTCAGTTAAAAAAATTAAAAAGTAAAAATAAAAGCTTATTGCTCACAGATCACCATCACAAATATAATAAAAATGAAAAAGTTTGAAACATTGGGAGAATCACCAAAATGTGACAGAGACACAAAGTGAGAAAATGTTGGAAAAATGGCACTGATAGACTTGCTTGATGCAGGGTTGCCACAAACCTTCCATTTGTGAAAAACACAGTATCTGGGAAGAACAATAAAATGAGGTCTGCCTGTAATCTACTTTCTGTCTTTATGGATTTGCCCATTCTAGATATTTCATAGAAATGGAATCATACAACATGTAACCTTTTGTATTTGGCTTATTTCACTTTAGCCTAATGTCTTCAAGGTTCATCCACATTGTAGCATGTGTCAGTGCTTCAGTCCTTTTTTAAAAATTTTTTTATTTTACATTGTATTGTTGATTTATTGACACAATGTTGTGTTAGTTTCAGGTGTACAGCAGTGATTCAATTGTATATATATATATATATATATATATAAAATATATATATATATATATCCATTCTTTTTCAGATTCTTTTCCCATATAGGTTATTACAGAATATTGAGTAGCATTCCCTGTGCTGTACAGTAGGTCCTTGTTGTTAATCTATTTTATTTATATATATATATATATATATATATATATATATTAGTGTGTATATGTTCATCCCAAACTCAAACTCATAATTTATCCCTGCCCACCATGTTTCCCCTTTGGTAATGATGTTTGTTTTCTATGTGAGTCTGTTTGTTTTTCATAAGTTCATTTGTATCCTTTTTTTTTAGATTCCACATATAAGCCATATCATGTGGTATTTGTCTGTCTCTGTCTGACTTCCTTCACTTAGTATGACCATCTCTAGGTCCATCCATGTTGCAGCAAATGGCACTATTTCATTCTTTTTTTATGGCTGAGTAATATTCCATTGTATGTACTGGCACACTGTTTTAAACAAGCCTCTGGGGTGATTCTGATGCTTACTAGGGTTTGAGAACCAGCCATGTCATCATTTGCTCTTTGGTCCACCTTTCTCACTAGACCATAAATGCAGCCACTCCACGGTCTATACGTGTCCATACCTCTACCATTTGGCACTGTGCTCAGCACACATGGGTTTTCCAGTAAACATGTATCTATTTAGTTCTCACTACCTCCAGACCCTGTTCTCAAGCGTTGGCTATTTAATTCATCCATATAAAGGAGCCCAGTTGGAATTTGTGCCTCAGTCTGTTACTCTGCCATGGTTGTATGCTGTCTAATTTGATGGAATTGTGAAAATCAGAACACGGTCTTTGTTCAAGCGACTTAACGTTTGGGTCCCCTTCACTCTGTGCCCAGCCCTCAAAGAGGTGATCCCAGGAACGTACCCAAGTCTCCTCAGAGAATTCTTCTGTTTCAATCCCTCACACAGCGCTGCAATCCCGTGGTCACCCAGGGCATTGGCGGCTAGATCCAGGCTCTTCAGGTGTTGACTTCTTGTGATGACATAGGACAGATTCTTGCAGCAAGCGGCAGTGAGATGGCACTTTACCAATCTGCAAGAGGAGGGAAGTGGGGGTGGGTTGGGGAGAGAGAGCGTGAGAGAGAGAGAGATGGAGAGAGATGAAGACAGAGAGATGAAGACAGAAAGAGAGATGAAGAGGGCTTCCCTGGTGGCACAGTGGTTGAGAGTCTGCCTGCCGATGCAGGGGACACGGGTTCGTGCCCCGGTCCAGAGAGATCCCACATGCCAAGAAATGGCTAGGCCCGTGAGCCATGGCCGCTGAGCCTGCGCGTCCGGAGCCTGTGCTCCGCAACGGGAGAGGCCACAACAGTGAGAGGCCCGCGTACCGCAAAAAAAAAAAAGAGAGAGAGATGAAGAGATATAGACAGATGGAGAGAGAGAGGGAGAGAGAGGTTGAGATGAAGACGGAGAGAGATGGAGATTATTGAGCGAGATTTAGAGAGAGAGACAATATCTGTACCTTTTGAGGAGAGCACCACAGTGGGATAAGGTTCAGAAACATTAGTAGAGATTCCCCTTGTTCCTTCCTAACTGGCGATCTTTCTGTCCATCCCTGTGAACAGCTTAGGACAGTTTATCATCTCAAGAGACAGATAATAGCAGAGGGTGGGGAAAGTTTTTGAAGAGACTGGAGGCATCTTCAGACAAAGAAATGAGCTATCAGAGCATTCTTTTCACCTGAAGATGGGATAAACATTCTCCCTGGTGGAGGGCAGGGAGAGAGACGGAAAAAAACACGAGTAGAAATTGGTAGAGCCTCTGACAAAGGGACGGAGCCCTGAGAGGGACAGAAAAGATGATAGAAGTCACTGAAACACTAGGTAGGGTTTGGGATCCAAAGGGAGACGGGGTCTTGTGTGTCTGTTCCCAGGAGGAGTGGGAGAGGGTGGAAATGGCCCCTTCAGTAGTGACTATATGAGTCATCTGAGTAGACATGACAGAAACAGCTCCGGAGTCTCACATAATCAACTTAGTGTGCTCAGCATAGAATGATCCCACTGGGTCCATCTCCATGAGGCATTCACATCAAGAACGAGGAAGGAGGGCTTCCCTGGTGGCACAGTGGTTAAGAATCCGCCTGCCAATGCAGCGTACACGGGTTTGATCCCTGGTCTGGGAGGATCCCACATGCCGTGGAGCAACTAAGCCCGTGTGCCACAACTACCGAGCCTGCGTTCTAGAGCCCATGAGCTACAACTACTGAAGTCTGCACGCCACAACTACTGAAGCCCGCGCACCACAACTACTGAAGCCCATGTACCTAGAGCCCGTGCTCCGCAACAAGAGAAGCCACCGTAATGAGAAGCCTGCACGAAGTAAAAAAGAGTAGCCCCGACTCGCAACAACTAGCGGAAGCCCGCACGCAGCAACGAAGACCCAATGCAGCCAAAAATAAATTTAGAAAAAGAAAAAGAAAAAAGAACGAGGAAGGACTCACTTGTGAAGACCAGGTGGGAATGATCAAGTCTTAGAGGCCAGTATGGACCAATGGTGATGGTGAGGACCAGAAAATCTCCCAGCACTTAAGTGCAACCCCAAAGAAATGGCATCTCCAATGGACTAAGCTGAATTTTCTATACCATGCAGCATTAGGGCTCAAAATGCCAATTCCATGAAAAGAAATAGGAGAATTAATACTCGGGGGCTACTCAGAGGTTTGTGTACTATGATCTCTATCCAATTCCTTTCATTTGTTTATTTTTGGGGAGGGAGAGCTCTCAAAGTGGTCCTACTTCTTGGTCCCCTAACTCTACCTTTGTAATTGATCATAAGAAAGGGCTATTGGGCTTCCCTGGTGGTTGAGAGTCCGCCTGCCGATGCAGGGGACACGGGTTCGTGCCCCGGTCCGGGAAGATCCCACATGCCACGGAGCAGCTGGGCCCATGAGCCATGGCCGCTGAGCCTGCGCGTCCGGAGCCTGTGCTCCGCAACAGGAGAGGCCACAACAGTGAGAGGCCCGCGTACCGAAAGAAAAAAAAAAGAAAAGAAAGAAAAGGCTATCAAGCACATAAAGTTTGATAAGGTACACATGACTAAAACACTGGACATAAGCCCAGTGTCCAGCTTTTGGGGATTTTATTTATTAAAATTTTATTTTTTAAATTTTGGCCACACCACTTGGCATGTGGGATCCTAGTTCCCTGACCAGGGATTGAACCCATACCCCCTGCAGTGGAAGCACAAAGTCCTAACCACTGGATCGCCAGGGAAGTCCCAGCTTTTGGGGGGTTTAAAAGTTATTATGCACCATTAAATGGAATACCATATCGTGCTTCATTTACTATTATGATTTGCTTATCCTCAAGGACAGGATGTGAGACCCAAGCAAGGTTTATGTTCCTTGGGAGTTTTAGTTCCCCCTGGTGTATGATTGGTGGGGGAACTGCAGAAATATTGAGAGCCACATGCCAGCCACATGGTAAGAATACCTGAAGTGGAAACTGCTAGGATCCTTTCTTTGTGACACATTCAATGCTGCTTATGCATCCGGGAGACATTAACTGAAATATTGACTGATTATTGCTTGGTTTCAAGCTTAGAGATTTATTTCTGTTCATTGAGGTCCTTTAATTTTTTCTAGTTGGTTTAGTGATGGAATACTCCTAGTATATAAAAATGTTCCAATAGGGGTGAAGAAATTTGAGCCCCAGAGAGAAAAGGGATTGAGGGATAGACAGCCACCCCCTCCCCCTCCCCCCACATACAGCATGAATAGCTGAAGATTAACCTGGTGCAAGATGTTCTGAAAAGTAAAGAGGTTTTAGAGATCAAGCGTGTCCTAGAACCCCATAGATCCTTCCACGGGGCTCCCGTTCAGAATACTTTCTCTTTCCTTCCCATACTCACTGCAGTGTCAACACATCAACTTACCCAGAGTGTCCACTGGAAAGAATGAGCCTCAGTTGACCCTAGAACTAATTTGTGGTACCATCGCTCTTGACATTGTAGAACCTCAGGCCCCCAGATGGTAGAGTTGATCCCCAACAACCAGGGAAACTTACTCTAGGTCCTGGAGGAGACAAGACGGCTCCATCATGACCTCACACAGAAGGTTCATCCCGTCATCTTCCAAGGGGTTCATGCTAAGGCTCAGATGCGTCAGATGTATGTTGCCCATGAGTGCAAATGCAAGAAAGCCACAGCCAGCCACATCCAGGTTGCATGCGTTTAGTCTGCAGG